GTGGTCAAGGCAAAGGTCCAGGTCCTACAAACACATGGCAAGTATACTGAACATACTTCTCAAAGCAAGTCTTACATGCATGCAAATGATCTTGGGAAAACATGCTGGAAGGCAAAACACTGTTTTACATGTCAGAAAGACATGCTGGGTACCAACCAGGTCTTTGTCGAGGTCCCACACCTCCTGGCCGAGGTGTGGCTACCTAGGCTTCGGCGTGCGGCTGTATGTCGAGGTGCACACAAGACAAACTAAAGGTGTAAGTGATCATGCAAGGTAGGCCAAGGTGAGATACGATGCTTGGACTAAGTGTGAGGTCTAGGTAAGAGTGATCTCGGCGACTACACCTCGGGAAGTGAGGTCTGGAGATCTGGGTTTCCACCCGTGAAGAACAGGAAGAACATGAACATGAAGAAAATGAATGCTAAAATCATAACTTCTTTATTTACAAAATCTGGGATTTCATGCTATGAGTTCGAAAACATGGACTTGGGTACCCATACTTGAAAATCATATGAAAACAAACACAGAAACATGGATCTAGACATGAGTTTTCGGATCAAAACGTGACTTTTCTTGAAGAACACATGAATGCTATTTTCTCTTTCTAAAACCGAACTTCAAAGCAATGCATAACTTACAAATCATATTCAATCATGCAATGCAATAACATAAACATGAAGAACGACAAGAGTAGATCAAGAATCTAACCTTAGAATACGGATCTAACGGTTCGATCTCTAGGGATCAAGCTTGGAAATCTACTCCCCCCTCAAGAACTTCTCTTCCTCTCCTAGAGCTTCTCTCTCTTCTTCAAAACAAGGGTATAGAAATGATAGATTTCTCTCTCTGCCAGTTGACTTAACACTCAGCTCGGACACGTGGCAACGGCTGGTTGGTTCTCCTAAAAAAGGTGATAGATTGACAAGACAAGACTATGACAAAGTGTATCTAACAAGCTACCCGGCAAGGCACTCCGACAAGTGATGACATCGGCTAAGGACAAAGCTTCGGTAACTAAGGTGACAATGACCTCGGCTAGGAAGGACAACACTTGACTAAGCTGTGCCACACCTTGGCCTAGATGTGCCACACCTCAGTCTAGGTCATACCACTCCAGGACAAGATCACTTAGGTGCAAAGGTAACATCTCGGCCTTGGTGATGAACACCTCGGCCTAGATAATGACATCACGGCCAATATGTTAGGGCGAAGGTGGAGGTCAAACAAAGTGGTTCCAAGACAATTCTAAACTGAAGGTGACCTCGGGTTGGAACGATCTAGGCTTAACATAACCTAGGCTTGGCATGACTTAGGCTTGACATAACTTAGGCTTGAGACACCAAGGAAGGAACAAAGCATGCACACAACACTTAGGCAAATCTCATAAATACAAAACAAGGCATGGACCTTACTTAGGCAAAACAAGTCATAAACATACATATGCAAGCTCAACGAGTCATAATCATACAAATGCTCATGAACATGACTAAGACATAAATGCAGGTTGTTACATCAACAACTTAATCTTCTTACTTAGACCTATTTCCTTAAACTTTTTCACTACAAAATGGTGAATTTAGCAATCCAAAAAAAAAAATTCCTAATTATTTCGTAAATGTTTATCTTAGGAGGAAAAAAATCTAGATATAATTGAATTAAATTGGGCTCTAGAGAGAATGGAGTTTTGGTTGACAAATGTGAAATAGGAATCAGAATGCTGCTAGAATAACAGTATGTTTTATTAGGTGTTTGATTGTGAACAAAAATTGATCTAATGTTTGGAAGTACTTAAATAACTTCTGGTGTGATCTATACAAGCTATTCCTATCATAGCACATTTATGTTGTATGTCAAACTCCTATTCCCATTTCGCATACCGAAATAATCCTAACTCCAAGTAACATTGGAAAATCTAAACAAACACCAAAGAAAATAGCCTACTAGGTTGGAGTTCCAGACATGCTGCTACAATTTCTTAGTTACGAATTTACAATGTTTAAATTGATTCCTTTATAAACACACACACACACACACACACACACACACACAAAAACATGTATTAGAATTATCAAAAGCAAGCCTAGTTCCTAGCTAGGTAACCTAATTCATGGATTTGAAAAGGCAATCGCGAGCCAAAGCATGAATTCACGAATTTACAATGCTTGTTTGCTTTGCTATAAGAGATTATTATCACAATAGTAATTTTTTTCCCCTTTAAGCTTCCTTTTTCTACAGTCCATTTTAAGCATGCAGTTCTAACTCGTCTTTAGTTGCATTTCCATTCATTTTGGTTTTCACTGTTGGATCTGGTGTGAATAATCTTTTTTGTTTGTAGGTTAGGGAAAGGGAGAAGCATTGAGAAAGAAATTCTATTGGCATATCTTTTTGGAAAATCTTGTTCAAGAACTACAGACATGATTATATAGTATTATGATATTCCTGACCAGATTGTTACAGATTTATAATGTTGATACCATTGGATGTTCGTTGCGGAGCTTGTTCTAAGTTTTATAATTATGAAACTCCTAGTTAACCAAAAAGGAAAAAAAATTATAATGTTTGTATTGATACATTGATTAGGCACTGATGCCTCTACTTTAAAAAGTCTAGTAAGATGAGTATGGCCTTTCTTTCTTTCTTTTTATTTTTTATCTGATTTAAATCTAAAAACCCTTAGATTTATTTTGAAGACTGGAAGATTAATGAAGCTTTCATTCTGTAAGAATTCAAGACAGTCATTGATTTAGGTGGTGGACTTGAATCTTTCGGAATCCTTATATGATTGTCTATAAATGCAGATATAGATAAGGGATATAGTTTCTACTGAAGGACTGGAATTTCTCAATAGGCTTCAAAAATCTTGATTTCATAGAGCAATTGCCCTCTGCATTCTGGTTATGAAATCTGAAAATAAAGATCTCTAACTCAACTCAACTCAACTTAGCACAGCTTTGTTTATTATTATTATTTTCAAGTTCCATTTTTTGTTGCTGTTCCTCCATTTCCTCAAAAAAAAAAAAATAATAATAATAAATAAAAAAAATTAGAGAACCAGACAATAGACAACTGAAAACTAAAATAACTAAATCCAAATAAACAAATCCTAATCTCACACTTAATAGATGAAGCTGAAATGAAGAAAATTAGTCACAAAACCTGCTTCTACTTGTATGAAATAAAGATAACCCAGATAATACAAACAGTGATGCACAAAATTCCCAACTAATAAGTAAATCATATACAGCAAATATGGTATACTTGCATGTGTTCTGTCATCCCAACTAGAACAAACAAGAATATACATATATATACATACATATCAGTTTTCATTTTTTGCATTGTCTGGAGAGTATGATTTAAGGCCATCCCTTCAAACATTCACTCATTAGGTTTTTGAAAATTAGGGGAAACAAAAAAATTGGTTTTGAAAATTAGGGAAAATAAAGGAAAATAAAGAAATTGAGCGACAGCGAGAGAGAGGACCCATACCTGATCTCGAGGTTGTTTGAAGATAGGCGAATTGGTAGTAGCAGAAAAATGGTGGTCGTGGTGCTGTTAGGTGCGAAAATAGAGAGCAACCATGTGAGTAAAAGGAGTAATGGAACACAAATACAAAGATTGTGAGAGAGAGTGAGAGAGAGAGAGAGAGATAGATAAAATACATACCTAACAATGGAAGCCCAAGTAGTTCTCAAAGAGCCGCTGATGCTTGGTCGAAAAAGCGACACAAGCAACTGCGATGACGGAGAATGAGCGGCTTTGGTGATTGCAATCGAGCAGGAGAATCGACGATGAGGTGCGTATGAGGAGTGGTGCGCGGTTAGGAGTGTAAAATGGCCCACGGCCCGTGGGTAGTCCGAAGCTTACCCTCGGCCCGGGGTGGGCCCGACCTGTTTAGGCTTGTTTAGGCCGGGGCCTGAGCCTAGCCCGAGTCCCTTGTCTAGGGCCTAGGCCATCATTTTAAAACCCAGACCGACCCGTGGGCCTGGCTCGTGGCCCAGCCCATCGGCCCACTTAAGGCTCGACCCGAAGCCCAGCCTGCCTGAGGCCTAGTATCTCTTTTAGTGGAAAATAATAAAATTTTGGTAGAAAAAAAAAACAAAAACAAAAAAAATAGTCAGGCCCGCCCAAGCCCGAGGCTAGGCCCAGGTCCACTGGGCCGATCTGAGGCCCTCACCCAAAGCCCTAATACGCCTGGACTCGGGCTTAATTTTTTGGCATGTGGGCCGCTTGGCTTGGCCCGAATTTTGGTGGGAGCCTGCAAAGCCCTACCCGGGCCAATTTATACCCCTATGCACGATATATCCTGTATAAAGCATTTGAAAAACTCACTCGGCTGATATAGGGCAATTTTTTTTCTATAAAACTGTTTGGTCGGTATTGTCCTTCAATTTACTTAAATAACATTCAAAACGGTGTCGTTTTATTATCTGCGACCAAATTATTTTGGTCGCTAAAATTTTTTTCATTCCCGCTTTTTTTTTTGTCTTCCATGTTTGACCTTTGCCAACCAAATTTCAATTTTGGTCATAGAAAATTCAATTTTAGCAACTACAAAATATTAGTTGGCAAAACTCCAAACCTTTGCCCACCAAATTTTAATTTAGTCGCCAAATGAAAACTTTTTGCGACAAAATAAAAGTTAGTGGCCAAAATTGATTGGGAAAAATGTGTTTGGTTTCAGTTTTTTGAATTCAGTTTTTTAAAAACTGAGTTTTTTTTTTTTGGTTTTTAGTGAATATTTTTAAAATCTTAAGCATTTTTTTTTACTTTTTTAGATACATCGATGCATCTTACTCAGATGTATCTAAAAAGTAAAATATTTGTGAAAAAATATTTTAAAAAATTAAGAAATACACGAAAATATGAAAAATATACTAAATTTTTGTTTTTTTTTTGTTTCGTATTTTTGGTATTTAGTGAATATTTTAAAGATTTTTTTCACGAAAATTATACTTTTTAAGTGTATTTATGTTAGGTATATCTAAAAATTAAAAAAATCGCTTAAAATATTAAAAAAATATATTAAAAACAAAAAAATATGAAAAATAAGAAAATAGAATTTTCTTAAAAGTGTTTTCAAAAGACTAGAAACAAACATGGTAATTTCAGATGAACTTCCTAGATTCTACAGCCGAGGAATTCACTCCTCCAAATGAGGCCGCCGCTGTCGCAACATCAAGCCCACCTCCAATGGAAGTGAACAAAGCCGATAAGCCAACAATGGAGGCTCCACCAGCTTCAATCCCCAGCTCAAGAAGATCAAGTGCGGTCGGCTTGTTCCTATAGAATGACGGTGGACCCACCATCAAATTAGTCAAACCAGTGGCAGCTCGATCAGTATGGAGCCCTAGCCTTAGCCCAAGCCCAGCCGCTACCGATGAGTTGCTCTCTGGTATCATTACCACAAGGCTTACAGTCAGATGTGCCGACAAAGACTACCGGTGGTGTTAGCGATGGTGGCAAGGACATACAAAGCGGCTTGAGGGATCAAGATCGATGACCCACAGATGGGGAAGAGAGATCTCCTTCAGAGAAACAAATTCAATTTAGGGCAAAAAAATGGGAAAAGAAATATATATATATATATATATGGTTATTGGCAACTAAAATATTTTTTAGTTGCTAAAAATATTTTATAAATCCCTCCAAAAGTTGAAATGTCTCCCTCCAAATATTTTAGTTCTTTGGCGATTAAAAATTATTTTAGTCGCTGAAAATAAATATTTGGCGACCAAACTTTTGGTTGCCAATGATAAAAAATAAATTTTTGTTTTTCATTCGACTACTAAATAATTTTAGTAGCCAAAACTAACTATACAGTGACTAAAATATTTTTTAGTCGTTGAAAATAAATATTTGGCGACCAAACTTTTGATTGCTAAAGATAAAAAGTAAATTTTTGTTTTTCATTCGGCGACTAAATAATTTTAGTAGCCAAAACTAACTATACAGCGACTAAAATATTTTTTAATTGCTCAAAATAAATATTTGGCGACCAAAAGATAAAAAGTAAATTTTATTTTTCATTCGGCGACTAAATAATTTTAGTAGCGATTATTTTTCATTCGGCGACTAAATAATTTTAGTAGCGAAAACTAACTATACAACGACTAAAATATTTTTTTAGGCTCCAATTGTGGCATTTTTAGTGACTAATTTTTTTTTTAGTTGCCAATAATCAATATATTCCGACTAAAAAAAATTTAGTAGCTAAATATTATAGTTTTGCCGACTAACACAATTTTCGGCTGCCAAATTCATAATTTTTGGTGACTAAATTTTTTTTAATCGCCAAATTTGATCGGTAAAAGTGCAATTTCCTGTAGTGTATAGACTTGAAAGTACTACACAAGTAGGGATGTAATTTTGGCCCGATCCGGCCTATCCGGGCTCGAGCCGGACTGGGCCCTTGTCGGGCCTTGCAGGCTCCCGCTGAAAAATCGGGTAGGGCCGGACTGGCCCATGGGCCAGAAAACTAGGCCTAGGCCCAGGGGTATTCGGGCTTTAGGCAGGCCAGTGGGTCGGGCCTCGGGCCAGGCCCTTGGGCCTGGGATCGGGCTTTGGGCGGGCCTAAACAATTTTTTTTTTCACCAAAACTTTATTATTTTCCTTTAAAAATAACACTGGGCCTCGAGTGGGCCAGGCTTTTGGGCGGGCCTTGAGATAGCCGATGGGTCGGGCCAAGCGGGCGAGGGTTCAAAAGGATGGCCCAGGCCCTGGCCCAAAGCCTCGGGCTGGGCTTGGGCTCGAACCTAAACGGGCCTTAATGGGTCGGGCCCACATCGGGCCGCGGGCAAGCTTTGGCCCACCCATGGACCGCGGGCCAAAATTACACCCCTATACACAAGTTTAGAATTCTTTTCAAAATATTTTATTAGAGTTTGTTTGACTACTTTTTCATGGCAGGCAATGATGTCAGGTTTACATCCTATTGAATAGAGGTAATGAGTGTGTTTGATTTTAATTTTTTTGAAAATTTAATTTTTCTTTTGTCATGTTTTATTTTTTATTTTTAATGAATATGTTTAAAATTTTCAGTATTTTTTTTTTTACTTTTTTAGATGCACCTTACTTAGATGTATCTAAATAGTAAAATATTTGTGAAAAAAAATATTTTAAAAAAATAATAAATACACAAAAATACGAAAAATATATTGAATTTTCATTTTTTTTTATTTTTATATTTTTGGTAATAGTGATTTTTTTAATGATTTTACTCATATTTACCATAAATTCATAGAAATAAAGACCATGTACTCACCAAAATCATTTAAAGTAATGTTAAAGTAGTACCTTCAAAGTCAAGTAAGCCCTAACAATGTGGGAAGACTAGTCAATCTGCATCAATTATCAACATATTAGTATGACATTCAGAAACACCAAGCATGTGCTTTAACTTCATAGTGAAAGCTAATGAACAGAAATGGACAACTCATTGAAACACTAATCAGCTAAAAACCAGCATAGGGTCAATAACTTCCTTGTGATCAACTAATAATAGGTGTCACCAATAAAACTCAGTTAATATAAAGAAGTATACAAACTATGTTACATACATACCTACATAACGTTTAGAACAGTAAACATATGACAATAAAATCTAAGGGCTTGCTTAGTTGTCCCATCAAATGTTCATATTTTATCTTTAAACCAGTAAAAGAGAAATCCATCGCGAAAAAAAAAGAAAAAAAGAAAAAAAAAGAAGTGGCAGCATGTCGGAGATTCTGTTGATATTTCATCAAATTAAGAGGCAGTGCATATGTCCATAACATGATACCCAACCTTAAGTACTCAGTACATTGCAGAATCCAAAAAGGCCCCAAAGCATATAAGAGACCAAAAACTTCATCCACAACATAAGGGACTATAAACTTCATCCCCTAAACATTTGAAACGTTATCCATGTCTATTCATATTTGAAGCATGTGAGTTTAACAAAACAACAACAAATGTGGGATTCGACAGTTTTGCATCAAACTAAATACTAAGTAATTCTAATACTAAGTAATGTGCAAACTTGTTTCCCTGCATTAATGAAAGGTAATTCTAATACTAACTAAGAAAACAAGCTTTCAGTTTCCAAACCATAAGACCAAGCATTGCATAATTTTCACCAATTATCTATTATAATGCAAACAGAGCCATCAAAGAATGACCAACCATTAGTAAGTACTAATAGTTACCAAAATCGTACATTATTGTGTACAAAATCTACAAATGGAAAGCATGGTAATATGTCAATGGCATATGCTGGGCGCCATGAAGCCAAGATGGAAAAATGCTACAAGTTTGATTCTTCTGGTTATACTTCACCAATATTATAAAACTTAATACCTCAGGAATTTGAAAGAACTCAGAACTCAAGCCATGGTGATCCAGAACTCGTGGGATGAGGTGTCAAATTGCTATTTTAAGCTTTTCTTCAGGTGTATATCCTGGCAGTTCAATGACTTCCATCATGTCTAACAGTGGTGGAGGAATATGTTGCACCCTATTTGCAATCGCCACAAAAACAACCTTCGAAAGGTCAAATGGAACATTTAAATAGCTGGTAACTTCAATTAAGTAATCATTATGGATATGTTACGATTGTACTATAATGAGTACTTCATTCATTGAACATTCACTCGCATTCTTGATTCAATTTAAAATATCTATCAAATCTATAAAAAGAGTACTGGAACATATCGAGATTGATGTTGATATAACAAGAACTTGACATATTCTATATGTTGGAACAATCTTCTGTGTAAATAAAATAAAATTGAAACTGAAACAAATAAATAAATAAATAAATAACGTACCGAAGTTATTTATTGAACCGAATTAATAATTCAAAGATCAAGTCGAGTGTGTGACACTCTGTCCTTAAGACAGATTTGCCCCGCTATGATACTTACGGTTGAGTGGCGTCTATCTCCCAGGATACAATGATCTTCACAAATTTGTAATAGCACTCCACACAAAATTTATATGGCAAACTAGAACCTTGTGTTCTAATACTCTCTTTAAAAATTTCTCTAAAACTAGAATGTAGAATAATGCAAACAAAACAAAGTTTGGACAGCAAGACAAGGGATTTTTCAGACTGTTTTTCTACCCACAAGACTGCTGGAAAATGGCTGGTATTAAGGCAAATAATTCTGTCCGAACAGGCAAGTTTCTGTAACTTCAACAGATGTTAAACCCTTGAACAGATTTAGTATGGAACTGGACAGATCTGTAACTGTGCAGATTTTGAATCTGTCCAGAATTTCAACAGATTGAAAACCTGTCTGGACAGAATTTGCTGGATGTTTTGATCAACCAAAATCTGCTTCAACAAGTCTAGATTATATAGACCCGAACAGGTACTAAAATGAAGTGAACAGATGCCACTAAACAATTTAAGATTAACTGCTGTAGTTACCTATATGTTGCTGAGACTGCCAACTGCATAGACAGATTTGAATTTTAAATCTGTCTGGTTGCAATAGATAAGACCTAAATGAACTGTTTTAATTTCGGACAAGAAATGGACAGAAATCTAGAATTCAAATTTTGAATTAATTTCCCGCAATAATTTTTGGAAAAAATTCAAATGAATCTTGCCCAAAAGATTAATAAAAGAACCGACCCAACCCACACCCACGCCCGGCACGGCTCGGCTCGGCCGGTCGAACGAACGACGGCAACGGCGCGCGCGTGCGTGTGTTGTGGTTTGGATTAAGGTTCACTTTGTCCATAACTCCTCCCTTCTACAAACTTGGGGTGCCCCTTGGAGCCCAACTCAA